TGCGAGCCACCACATTCACCGATCTCACTAATTTTTTTCGTTGTTTTTTGCAGACATTCAACTCCATTGTGGGTTTCTGGCTGGGGTGCGGGACTTTTGGCTCGTCCGGACTGGCACGCGGCGAGTTGCGCGGCGGCACGCGCGGCGATCTGGACGGGACAAGGCTTCGCGGGTTCTTCGGGTAGAATTCAACACGTCAATGCGTGTGCAGATTGCGGATAAACTCCGCATGGTTCTGCTGTTTGAAAATCTTTCCGCTCACGGGGATTGGAAGCAGCAGTATCGGTGAGGAGATTTCAGCGCAAGAGATGAGTGAGGACCCTCATGTAAATGTAACTACTACCATCAAAGCAAATAAGAGTCACTAAAATTGGGAGTTCTTGTTGAGGTTTAATGTCAACTATATATGTTTTGCTGATCGAGGCGCTCACGTCCAGAGGAGAAACATTCAAAACAAAACAACAAAACAGGGTCGATGGTAGGTGACACTAGGACTAAGCCCAGCAGAGGGGAAGAACGCCAGGGAACCCTTCTGCTGGGCTTGGTCCTAGGGTAGCTCTATCCCCCAGAATCCCTTCTCCTCCCTAAGTCTCGGTCCCAAACACAGTAATTGTCTCACTCACATCCCCCAAATGGAACGTCCCCCCCCCAACAACATGACCCCCTGATTGCCATAACAGCACTACGCTACTTAGCACTACACTAGCACTACACTACGCTACAGAAACTTGCGGATTTTATCCGCAATCTTCACACGTTGACGTGTTGAATTCCCGCGATGCGTCGGGATTGCCGCGCCGCTCGCCGCGCAATTTGCCGCGTGCCAACCCGGACGAGCCAAAAGTCCGTCGCCCTTCTGGCTAGGAGGGAGCTTCTGTGCAATGTTCTACATTTATCTACTATAATATTGCATGATTATGGAATAATCGCCATCAAAAGCAGACGTAAAAACTACGAAATAAAAGCATTCCTGTCGAAGATGCATTTTGTAACGCCTATTAATTGCGCTTGGATCGAAACCATTCATTCCGGGTGATGCAAGAATACGCGAGTTTGGTTGTTGTGATATGATTACACTAGTAATTATGAGCCGTGTTGCGCTGTAGAACACCACCTCAAGTTTCCCAACCTGAACAGTAATGGTAGAACCGTAGATTTCTATTCACCATAAAATTAACGGTCAGCGTGAGTCTTGACATTTTTATCCGTAAGATAGCAGCGCGAGCGCCGCTATCTTGCGAATAAAAACTCACACCCATGACTTTTGATTGGTAAATACCTTGGATGGTATAAAATAATTCCAACCACGTTCAATATTGAACACATCTGGAGGTACGATAGTAGAATTTTGACTAAATGTTGCCTTATAACAATGAAAAAAAACAGCTTTACTCATGCTGGCTGCAGGGGCCATCAGTTTCTTTACCAAGTTGTTGTCCGTGGACCTGCATTTCGTCATCGTTACCTCACCTTTTCTGAGTAAGCGGCTACAATTTCCGAAGGTGTCCAAGCAGGAAACGACTTCCGATTATCGGTCATCTAGAACTGATTTCGCGGAAAGAATCCATGATACGGTTAGAAGTCTGTTCCAGCAAATATTATTACGTCAAGCGTATCAGCACAAGAGTATGCATCACACGAAGAGTTTGAATAATTCTTTAATATACAGCATACTGGAAATCTGCACAGGAATAGCCACAAATACCTAGTCTACAATGAGAGTAACTAGGAAGGCCTAAATAGTTTAACGATATTATATACAGCTGTAAGTTAGTATCACTTTTCATGAAGACGGTAAAGGGCCAAGCGTGGCATCAATATGAGGAACAAGCCCGGAAACCAAGGTAGCTCTCCTCGCAGAATTCCCGAGGTCAGTCTGGAAAGTCATTGAAATGCATTGTAGCATTGTAGTGAAACTAATGAACTTGTTGATCACTGTTACCGTCTGGAGGTAATCAAAAGTGTCTACGAACACACTACATTATTAATGATTCTGATATATAAGTCAAAAACTTCTCACCACTTTCCCCACATCTCCACTTTCGTAATTACCTGTAGATGGTGTTTCCATAACAAATGTTTGATCCATGGCATTCTGTAATGTACTTTCTTTTACTTCAGCCCAACAAAAAGCGTTTCATATGAGACAAAAACCTCTTTATCAGGCGTATCACCGCGTGAAGAAGGTGGTTCATGCAACATCATTGATAATCGGCGACTGCGAGGTGAAACAGGGCCATCAGGTTCTTGGCATCGACTCAAATCTTGTATAGGCGACAAATCGGTCCTAAAAATTTTCGTCATACGTTTCTCTGAATGAAACAATAGCAGCAGTACGAGCATACACTATTCTCGTCCTTCTCTTTCTATTTCCTTTTTTCCTCAAGTGATGAGAGACGTCCAACATGCTATCTTCCTCCTCTGAGCCAGGTTCCACCTCTTTGATAGGATTTTTTACCTTAGAAATAGATTTTAAAAGCGAAAAAATTCATCAACCGCTCAAATCCCCCATTATTTGAAAGCCTTTTAAAAACGTGAATGGAACATTTACATTTTCCAAATCTATCAATGAGCACATGACGAGAAGAACGTGTACGACGCTCCTCCTCCGTTGTCAAAGTCACTGGGCTCATGCGTTCCATGCACGATGACGATCGAGAACGTCCCAAACCAGACTGAAAAACAGAAAGGGGATAGAACACACAAATGAAGAAGCTTCGTGAAGAGCCTACTTAATAAAATTACATGCCAACGTTGAAAA